CTCGAACCCACGATCTCCAGATCACTAGTAGTTGTAGTTGTTTTCAAATGTACTGAGTATTCGGTACATTTCCACGTCAGGTAGGGCAAAAATTACACATATACATGTTTCCATCGCGACAATAACAATTACTATCTATATATATATTTGTTATGCGAAACTAAATAATTTCCAATTGAAATAGATGTCATAATTGGGCATATAAATAAAAAAACCAATCATTAAGAACCTGCTTACCTCCTCCATTTTCATAGCACAGGTATGGAAACCTCCACACGTTTCCCAATCCAACAGCATAGCCGAGACACGAGAGCAGGAAATCGACCTGATTGTCCCAAGTGCCTCTGCTGCCGTTCTCGGATGTAGTACTGGAGTCTTCGCTAGAGGCACTCTCTGCTTCAGAAGTGGCATCCACACCTCCAGTGCCGCTTTCACCAATCGATGCGCTCTTGTCTTCAACAGGGGTGCTCTCAACATCCTGTTTGACTGGAGTTGCATCTCTGTCCCCAATCTCTCCAGTATGGAGATCCTGGCCATTTGAGGCAGCAGCTACACTGCTGATGATGGTCTCAATGGTTGATGAGACTGTCACCTCGACAGGAGTGATTGGGATTACATCGTTGGTGATTGTTCCCTTAGCTGATGTGGTTGTCACCGCTTGTCCAACGGTAATGTCACTCTCCACCGTGACAGTATCTGTACCATGAGCCAATTCTAGTCCAGATTTGGAGCTCGTTAGTACCTCCTTGCCCTCCGACAATTGAGATTCGATGTCATTAGCAACCTATAGTTTAAAAAAGATCAAATGCATCTGGATAAATAGATTTAAAGGGAACCAAAACCAAGAGCTTAGAACAACATATAATAAATGAACAGGTACAACATAACGAAAATATGAATATTAAAGGTAGTGTACTAAAAATATAATAATGATTAATAATAAAGAACGAATTCAATATAGATGGATGGATGGATGGATGGATGGATGGATGAATGAATGAATGAATGAATGGATGATGGATGGATGGATGGATGGATGGATGGATGGATAGATTAATGGATGGGTGGATGGATGGTTTAATGGATTGGTGGGTGGATGGATGGATGGATGGTTTAATGGATGGATGGGTGGATGGATAGGGATAAATTGATGGCATGAAGGATAAAGGGAAGTATGGATGGATGGATGATAGATAAATTGATGGCTTGAAAAATAGAGGGATGGTTAGATTGATTGATGAATAGATGGATAGATGAATTAATTGATAGATGGATAAACGGATGAATGAATGAATGAATGGATGAATGGATTGATTGATTGATTGATTGATTGATTGATTGATTGATTGATCGATTGATTGATTGATTGATTGATGGATGGATGGATGGATGGATCGATGGAAGGAAAAATGGACAGATAGATAGATTGATTGATTGATTGATTGATTTATGGATAGATGGATGGATGGATCAATTAATGGATGGATGGATGGATTAATTAATGGATGGATGGATGGATGGATGAATTAATGGATGGATATGTTTCTTTGCTTTATGGATGCATTGATGAATGGACGGATGGATGCATAGATAGATGGACACATGGATGGAAGAAAGGAATGATGAATGGATAGATGGATGGATAGATGGATGGATGGGTAAGGGTGGATAGATGGTGGATCGATGAATAGATAGATGGGTTAATGGTTATAGGTGGCCGGGGAGAATGTATGGATAGTTTAATCGACAGATAAATGGCCCGAATGAATGGATGGACAGATTGATGGATGAACCAATGAATGAATGAATGGATGGATGTATAGATGGATGGACGCATAAAGAAAAAAAAAATGAAAATACTTACTTGTTGAACAATGCTATAATCTAGACAAACGGCAATTCTAGTCGACATTTTAATGAATTAAAATGAATCACAATTATTAAGGGAGGGCGGGGCTCGTCCAGGCCTATACCTATCTAAAATATGGTATTATTAGTATCTAAGTTGAATTAAAAGGAAAGCAAAGCTAGGCTTTTGGTTATGCATGGACAGGTCAGTGGTTTAGGAAACGTAATGCAATTAAATTGTATTACAAATAAATAGGCTAGCCTATTTTGTTTAAGTCCGTTTTGACTAAAAGCAAGACCGACTTATGCAAGTCTCATAAGGCAGGAGGGGTAACTTTTGTCAAGGTCATCCGATAAAAGACGCGCGCCAATCGTATCTTTACATGAGCTCATAAGGCAGGAGGGGTTACCTTTTGTCGAGGTCATCCGATAAAAGACGCGCGCCAATCGTATCTTAACATGAGCTCAGAAGAAAACAATAACGCACACGCACGCCTCTGACGAATGCGTAATCACTTTCACTGTTTAATTCATAAACTAACTTCTGTAAAAAAAAATATTTTTTAAGTTTATAACGTCACTTACCGGTGCTACTTGATGAGAATGAGTCTTAAATATCCAAGACATTGTAGTAATAATTAATTTATTTATAATTCGTTTGATTAAAACAATAAACTTATTTCAGCTTTGTTACTTTAAGAGAACCAAACGGGTAGCCAAAGCAGATATGAACGCGTATCAACAAAGCGTTGTCACGACAATAATGTTGCCATAGATTTTAGTTCCTGCGCATGTCTCGCAATTCGCTTCGATACCAACCCAACATTACGCTCGCATCATGAAAGCACAACGATACCTAACATGGATAGAGAATACGCGCGCATGAATAGACGCAATGCGAATTCCTTACATTCATTTTTATTTATGCATAAAATAACATCTTAAAACTATTTTAATACCGGTATATGATGCCACTTACTGGTATTGTTTGATGAGACCAAAGGTTAAATATCCAAGACATTTTGCAAACGTTAAAATTATATCACCTTTGCTCAAATTATAAAAACCAAATCGGTAGCCAAAGTAGTAGTAGCTATGTGAGCGCGTATCAACAAAAGGGTTGTCACGACAAAAGGGTTGCCACCGAACGTCAGTTTCTGCGCATGTCTTACACATGCGCATCGTAACGAAGGAATAATAACGCGCTCAGTGATAAACGCGCGAAGCATTCTTCACTTTCGATCCTTTATACATAAACTAGCTTTATAAAACTATTTGAAGTATATAACAACACTTACTGGTGCTTCTTGATGAGAACAAATGTTAAATATCCAAGACATGTTGATTAGTTTGATAATAACAATAAAATTATATCAGCTTTGCTCTACTTATGCAAACCTTACCGCCGGTCGCTCAAGTAGTACTAGCAATATACGAGCGCGTATCAACAAATCGTTGTCAGGACACAGTCGTTGCCATCAAATTGTTAGTTTGCGCATGCCTTGCACATGCGCACTGATACTATGTCCTACATATGTGTGACGTGTGCGAAGGAAATACACAAGATATTTTGTTATCTTCTACGAAAATAAACTGTTGGTCAACTATTAACAAGTTCTAAACATCTTTCGTGCTAGAGCGCAGATCATGGGGAAGGGACGTCAACCACAGTACATATTTTGAAGGCAGATTTTGAGAAGGTAACTTGAGAAGTCATCAAGAAAATGTCTGAAAAGTTGTTGAATCGAACTGCATAATGACTCAGGTTTTAACGAAAAAGCGTTGTACAGCCAGGGTAGGCCTACGTGAATTTTAAGCAGTTGCGGATCCAGGAAGGTTTCCATCCAATTGCTACATAGCGTAGGTGTTATGAACGCAAACGAATGACCAATCAGCATTTCCGAAACCTATCTGGGATAGCCTGTAGCTATTTTATGAAAACCAGCTATACATGCATATTACACATCATATCCATTTGTGTCTATGTGTTACATATGTGTTCTCACATTTTCTATGTATTCTCAGAATGAAATACATTCCCTGCATGTTCCTTTTGTTAACATATGTTGTTACCTACTGTATGTGTTCTCAACTGTTACAATGTATTGCCACCTATGTGTTCTCATATTTCACCTGTTCTCATATACCACCTATGTATTACCATATGCCACCTATGTGTTCTTATCTGCCACCTACGTGTTCCCATGTGACGTATGTGTTCTCATATGCCACCTATGTGTTCTTATGCCACCTGTGTTCTCATAATATGTCACCTTTGTGTTGTCATTATGCCACCTGGTATGTCTTTAGTACGGTGCAGACAAAACCTTCATCAGTTATATATAACAAATAATAAATATTAGTTTTTGAAATGGTATAATCCCAATCAGGATTTCTATCCAATATTTCTTAGTTACAGTTTGGTTGATCAATGGTTTAGAAAGCTGTATCGGTTTAGTGACGATGGTTTACTTTGTAATTCCCGGCGAAAGACGGTGGCGTATCTAGAAGGGGGGAGTGCGGTTCGACGCTTAAGTGAGTAAAATTAATAATTACTTGGACGTGATATGTTTTGCTTCAGGCATTCTTATTGGGGGTTACTGGGGTGGGAGCGTTCCCACCACTAGAGGCCAATGGAGACAGATTAGAAATAGACAATGATGAAACAAGAAAAGGTGTAGGCCTATTAAAAATTTAAAAACTGCTACATAAAACCTACAAATATATATTACAGTATATTCAGGATATAATGATTTTAAAATAAATAATAGATAATAAATAATAATGATGATGGTGATGATGATGTTGATGATTATGATGATGATGATAATAATAATAATAATAATAATAATAATAATAATAATAATAATAATAATAATAATAATAATAATAATAATAATAATAATAGATTAGGTATGTAGTTCTGAAATAAGGAGTTTTAGATATGCGACGACGAGTAATCTAGGACGATATGCTAATTATCTATGACGTATTACAATGTTGGCCACACAGATGATAAGCTCTTGTTTTAGTTTTGCGACGACGATGCAAATACACGTCACCACCGGACATGCTTGAGTGAATTGAAAATAAACACTGTACTAATATTAAATGCCATATTAAATAGGCATATAGGCCTAGGCCTGCCCTTACTACAGGTAACAAATATTATACTATAGGCCAGGGCCTAGGCTTTTGTGGGGTTAAGTTTATACTGTGTAGGCCTAGGCCTAGCTAGGTTAATGATCAAAAGTACAGTACAAGCATATCCTTCAATTGTAAAAACAATATTAATCATACTTATATTCTTTCAAATTATATGTCAAACACATCCATGAATCCTTCAATGTAAAAATAAACCCAAAGCTTCCTTTTATAAATAAAACTGTAAAGTTTTGTACTACTGCAGCATACATGCTGCACCAATAATGTCTCTGCACTAAATGAACTTGAAACTGTTGCGTACGCTGTGTATCACATTTCGCGCTTTTTAACAAATAATTATAACATTGTTACAATTTATTGTCATGTTCCTCCCCTATAGTAAACATCTTATTATTCAGGGATCAACTAAATAAACTTCCTCAAT